GTCGTGGCCGGTAGTGGAGGCAGATGGTCTTGGCGCGCAGCGCCGGGGCCATGCGCGTGCACCGGCGCGGTGGTGGGATGCAGCCGGCGCGGCAGTGGGGCATGGCCTGTGCGGCAGTGAGCGCTGGCAAGCCAGCAGCAGGTGGTGACCGCACCCAGGGCTAAGCCATGTGTCGTGCACGCTTTCTAAAGCAGTTAGAAAACTTGTACGCGATGCTCCAAAAGCCAAACCAATTGTTCGATGCGCAAGAGGGTACATCAAGCTATCAACCGCAGTCATGACACCGCGCTACTTCTTAAGCCAATTGCTCCACAAAGCTTGCCAAAAGTGGCTTTGTCGACCTCTTCTAAAACTTACGCGAATGACGTCGAGTTGAATGATTTCGCGTCGAATTCCAAATCCGACCTACGGGATGTACTAGCTAGTTATCCTCGTCCTCGACCACACATGTTTTATCGCCGTTCACAAAACATTCTATGGCCTTTTTGTTTTAACAAGAATTTGATTAGGATAATAAACAATGCTATGTGCCACAAAACGTGACATTCGCTTTCTTGTTTCATACAAATGTTTCAAGGACCGAACATTGCTTTATAATGCATGTTGTACACATATGCACACAATTATGATGCTCATACGATGTTTTGGCAAAACAGTACAATATAACACCGAGGATGTTACAGTGGAGCATGCTTGTTTTCTCCATTTCCCTTTGTTGCTGGTTATATGTAAATGAGATGTGTTTTCCTTAATCTGATGGAGATGCTCTAAAGGGTGAGCGAGCGGGCGATATGAGTGCACTTGTGGGAGAGAAGTTGGGTCATAGGCTGCTGGGCCTTATTAGGCTATGGGGTGTAGTAGAAGAATATATGTTCTAGGCTCAACTCTTGACATGGTATTCTTTTTTGCTTTACTAGATGATTGCCTGTGCGTTGCAATGGGTGCAACATAAATTGAATGAGATGTTTGTTAGCCAAGTTAAAATCAAGAATATATCAATTCAATTTTTCACGTGTATTATACCATGATAATGTCTAGAAACACATTCATTATTGTAATGAATCTGAAATAAAAGCTAGGCATTGAGCTTGTTGTCTAAAAGTTACGATAAACATCAGTTGCCTCAAAGGCTGAAAATTTATTGCTAGGCATCGAATTGAATTTATCCATGCTTCGCCTTGCCCAAAACATGTATACTCGGACTTACAATATCCTAGCCCGCATGAGGCATGGCAACAATTCATTTTTTGGGAAAAAAGTATTTGTTGTCAACACGCAACACGAAGGACGACGAACGAGATTTGGATCACGATCATGATCATTGCGTGGTGATATTCCAATAAATTTCTTTCTCTTCTCATAATTCTCTTTCCGTTTTATTCCATTTTTTACTTGCCTTCTAGTGTCTCCATGCGATGATTATTTGCCTGTCGGTGATTCCGTGAGTTTTATTCCATTTTATTTACTTGCCTTCCAGTGTCTCCATGCGGTGATTATTTGTCTGCTAGATATGGATCGCATGAGTGTTTTGGTCTTGCTGGGTAGATGTTGACAATTCGTATGTTTTAGTTGTAGAGATTTTCCTCTTTATTAAATAAAAAACGCTTGAATTAGTGCTTTCGGACGGTTCTCTTTCCGTCGGACGCCGCATCCACCGTTAACACCACGGACCAAAACGAGTTGGCGCACCGCTTCGGGCTTCTTCACATAGGCCCACACGACTCGCTCATTCTCCACTGCAAGGGCTCGCTCGCTGCGCCGCTGCATCCCTGCGTCGTCGTGCGCATCCACCTTCCTCCTTTCCCTGCTCGCTCCCTACACCGCTACGTCCACCTACATGCCTTCCTCGTCGTTGTGCTTTGCTCTCAGGTGATCCCCTCCAACCTCTGTGTTTCCTCCCATGGAAGGCGTTTGTACATATGGACGAGTTTGCACCCCGCGACTCCCCACTCCGCCTCGTCCGCCGCAACTTCAACGCGATGTCCTCACCCCACCCTCTGCGCCACCGAGCTGCGCGCCGCCGGCGAGCACACCGGTGACCTTCACGCACCGTTCACCTGCCCTCTACGCCACCGCTGCCCATGTCGCCCCTACCTCGCCCTCTGTATGCCGTCGCCCAGCTCCATGTTGCCGATGAGCTCCACGCCGCTGGCGAGGCACCGGTTACCTCCACGCGCCGATGAGCCTCCATTCGCTGAAGTTGTAAGGAGATGTTTGCGCTGAGAAGCGTATGCTGCAACTATATGTTTCAAGTGTTTTAGGTGTTTCAGAGGTATGTTGCAAGTGTTTCATATTGTTGTTGCAAAAGTAGATAGTGATGTTGCACATGTTGCAATGATTGTGCACGTATGTTTTAAGTGTATGTTCTAAATGTTTCATTTGTAGCAGACGTATGTTGCAATAGTAGATCTAGATGTTGCATATACATGTATGTTGCAAGCGTATGTTTCAAGTGTTCGGGTGTTTCATACGTCTGTTGCAAGTGTTTTATCTGGATGTTACATATTTTTGCAATGGTTTTCAAGTGTTTTCCAGGTATTTTTGTAAGTGTTTCAGACGCATGTTTCAAGTGTTTCATATGTCTTCTTTTGTATGTTGTAACTGTTGCATCTGGATGTTTCAAAAATAGATTGGGTGTTGCACATCGGATGCGCATGGGAAGTGGTTGGAGGTGCGGGCGACGTCCGGGGCGACGTAGGTGATGTTCGGGGCGACGTGGGGCCACTGCTAGGGCGCTCGCTCACAAGTGTGACGCGCTAGGGTGGTTGCTCGCTCGCTGAGCGGGTACCGTCCGACGCTAGCAAGTTTGTTATTAAATACTCCCTCCGTCACAAAAAGAATGCAATTCTAGTACAATATCACGTTTTAGTACCTTATAAGTTTGACCAATTATCTCCTACAACTAAAAAGAACAAAGTGTGGATATTTTTTTGTGCGACATTTGTTTTGGTTCGTCCGTCGGCCCACGCCTGCAATCCCACGACATCTTAATTACTGATTGATCGTGCCATTCTCCTTGATTGAATATTGCCTGTCATGTGATAGAGGAATCACGGCAAAATAGGAAGTAGAAAATTATTGTGTTATCCATATACACATTGCATGTTTGCATGCACCAGCATACATGGCAACGAGGAAAAGGAAAGAGAATTAACACAAAAGGAAAGCGAATTAAGACAAAAGGAACCTCTTTGCATTTCTGAGAACCTTGCCAAATCTGTCTACATTTATTTACTTCCCCTCTTTGCATTTGCAAAAAGGACAACTTTTTCCTCCTTTCATTTGGTTTCATGCTCATGTGTTCCATCACCCTCGCTTGTTGTTTCTTGCATGAACCATAGTTGATGTCATTTGTCTTCCATGGCTCAGCCTCCCAATACCAAGAGAAGGTCCCTACCTCTCCCTGACTGGAGATCCGGCCTGCCAGAGGATCTCCTCGAGTCCATTGGGCAGCGTCTCACGTCAGGCCACGACACGGCGTCCTTCCGATCCGCTTGCTCCCCATGGCTCGCCGTCGTTCCGTTCGTGACCTTCAGGGCGCTCCTGCTGCTCCCGTTCGATCCCGACTCAGACCGCGTCGGCTTCTACCGCGGTCCAGAGAAGAAGGTCTTGTCCAAGACGCTGCCCAACGTGTGCGGCAAGGTGGCGTGCGGCTCCTCGTGTGGGTGGCTGGCGCTCATGGACGAGGCGGTGTCCGTGACGCTGCTGAATCCATTCGCCCGTGCCGTGCCCCCCGCGTTGAGCTCCCGCCAGCAGACGAACATGTCGCGGCGGCGTCCTCATCGGAACGCGTGTCTAGGGTCCACGGCCGGTGGGTCCTCCATCCCACCAATGGCTACGGTGACGCGGATGACGCGGGCAAAGTCATCAAGCTAGAAGACATGAGGGACGTGTTCTTCTGTGAGATCGTGCTCTCGGCGCCGCCTGACGTCGCCGGCCGCGAGTGCGTGGCCATGGGCATGCTTGGGTGCTCCACGGAGGTCGCGTTCTGCCGGGTTGGAGTCGACAGCGCTGGACGCTGCTCGACACCAAATTGGAGTTTTCCGTGGGGTCCATCGTCCACTGCCAAGACAAGTTCTTAGCGATCGACTGCACTGGAGAAATCTCCGTCTGCAGCAGCAACGCCGCCGGTGCTACTCCAACCACGACGCTGCTGCCATCGCTGTCGCCACCTGCGGGGCTCTGCCACCGGAGCTACCTGGAATCAAACGGTGAGCTACACATTGTGGGTGCCATGGTGAGCATGTTCCACGAGACACAGAGCTTCACCTACAGCAGCGCAATCTACAAGTGCAACCTCCACAACCGTACGTCGGAGCGGTCCAGGGTGAGGGACATCGGTGATCAGACACTGTTCGTGTCTAAATATTTTAATGAAAGCTTCAGTGAAACAAGTGTATCCAAGTAAAAGGAGAACAAAATCTATATGTCTGAGCCATTGTATGGGGATCCATACGACTTGGTCCATCGACTGGAGATTATTGATATTGCTACCGGCGCATCCGAAGTGAAGCCTGTCTAGGAAAAGATGCATGGTTCCGAGGCTCTAGGTTGGATTCGATCCAATCTCTGGAAGCTCTAGAGTTTGTGAGCCTGCGACGCCGCGCACTCTGTGACTGTGTTAAATTCATAAACTTTGTTTTTTGGATTAAATGTCATTTTAACGTTAGTATTTAATTTAACAGTATTGTTATCTTATCGTGTGATCCGTGTGTTTTTAGTATAAATTGTTAGTTATTCCGTAGCAACACACGGACACGCTACCTAGTAGATAAAAAAGTTGCAATATTTATGATATCGAATAAATATCATTAGATAAGTTATGAAACTTATTTTTATAATAATTTAATTTAAAGTCATAAATACGAATACTATTCACGGTAAAACTTGGTTAAACATGAATCGGTAGTAATCAACTGAATGCATTGAATACAAGCGGGCCCTGCCCAACATGAGAAACTACACTAATGGTGGACTCTTGTTCAACGTCGTGTGCTTCTTCACTTCGTATTAGATCCAGAACGCGCGAGGTTTTTTGATGACGATTGCCAAGGCAGCTTGTAGACCTTAGCCCTCCTGTTTACTACGCAAAGCTCAGCGTCCCAAGAGTACTGGATTCGGAAGGTTACTACGCGAAGCAGCATGGGCACCATGAGACCGAAGGTATCTGAGCGGTCCTGGTGCGGCTGCGTCACAGTCTCAAGGAGGCAGAACCTGGCGTTGCCCATATAGACGAGGCTGGCGCTCACGTGTCTCCTCCACATTTGCCTGAACAGCAGGTCCCTCCCGCACTTGCAGGCCGGCTCCGCCCCGCCACGGCGGTCGTCCACCACCCGGCACGCGGCGAGTCGCCCCCTGTGCCGCGAGCACAGGCCGACCCACGCGTCCAGGTCGCGGACGTAGTACGCCTCGCCGTGGAACGGCAGGACCCAGTCTTCGTGGCGCGCCCACTCCAGGCGCTCGGCGTCGAAGGAGAAAGTCCCGGTCTTGTACACGGACAGGAAGACCGTGGCGCCGTCCGGGTGCACGGCGCGGGACACGACGATGTCGTCCAGCATGAACGGCGGCCGGGGGAGAGCCTCCCACTGCCAGGTCCCGTAGTGGCGCTGCGGCTCGGGGCCGAGCCTCTCGAAGACGCAGCGCTCCTTTCCATAGCTGGGTTCGTCGGCGCTCGTGTCCAGGGCATAGACGGTGCCGCCGATCGCCCAGAACGCGTCGCACTTCTTGGGTGAACGCAAAGGCGGGGTGGCGGACGCTAGCCGCGTTCTGGCGTCGAAGATGAAGTTAACGGCCGGGGCTCGGTAGAGAGAGCCGCTGTCCAGTCCAACGATCTTGGTGCCCGCGGCGACGAACTCCGGGCACCCTCTGGTGGCCAGGCGGGCCACGAGTCTGCGGTGGCGAAGACGGCGAGCCCTGGAATCCACGTCGTACTCGGAGTCGAAGCGGGCTTGAGTGGTGAAATGATCCACGCTGCCCTCGGACTCGGAGGAGCAGACGGAGCAGGAGTCGTCGTCCGCGTCCTCGGAGTAGGCATCGTCGGAGTCGAAATCGTCCTCGTTCAACTTGTATATGCTCACCCCGGAACTGCCGTCGTGATTGCTTAGTATGTAGAGGCGGCGCCGCCGTCGCCGCTGCTGTTTCTCGCCCTCAGATCTCCGCGGTGGCCTCGCCATCTTCTTGGTAAGATTTCTGTCAATGACCTTTCGTATGTCTAATTTCCTGTGTATCCTGACAGCCTAACTTGCTAGTTGCTACTACTAGTCATGACGACTGGCCGGTTCAGGCCTCCCTGATCGGCACCTCGCCGAATTAGAGTCGGATTCCGGCATCCTTACCTGAAAGCTTGCCCCAAAGGCCAAAACAGAGTCGGATTCGTGCGTCCTTACCTGAAAAGCTTGAAAAACAGACCTAGATTCGTTCATCCTTACCAAAAAAAAAAAATTCGTACGTGTTTATTCCGGTTCTACTCTTGTGGTGGTTTCTAAGAAAGTGATCACAGTCCGACTACAAACATATTAATGTATAAAAAATCTGCACAAAAAACCAGCATGATAAACTGAAATTTCATTTGTTTGCAATAATCTACTTCCACGGTAAAGATTTTGGTTTTCATGACGCTTTAGTATGTACTCTTACAAGAATAAGGCTGAATGATATAGCCGAGAGAATTAGTTTCAACTTACACGAATTAAGCAGACTAGTACGTTTACAATACATGCAACAGAAGATTGTATTTGGTTTCCCTTGCTCCTCCTTACTTAGATTTAGCCCATGGCTTTAGAATCGAAAGCACAACTATGATGGCAATTACCAGCAGAATGATAATTGCGATCATCATGCACTTTCTCGACTTCTTCTGATAGCTCTTTGCTTCGCGTAGCGCTTCAGTACCGGTTACCACATGGTTTACAGCATTTTGAACCTGACGATGTAAATGGATCAGCGGTCAAACAATTTTCCAGAAGCACTAATTAAATTCAGTTTCTCTTTTTTTTTTCCAGTTACATATACTAATCAGACCAAGAAGTGAAGTTACAAACCTGATTCTCTATGTTGTCTAGAACCTCTCCTTGTGCATCAACGAGTGCTGCCATGTCTGCAAAAATCTGAAAATAAACAGTACACGCCATGGTTCAGTGGCCATGGGCAATCTGGAAATTGATGTGATCAATTATGTACATGTTACAGGTTATTAGATTGTAAATAGTAGTAAATATTCTTATGTTGTTATAAAATCTCTTTGTTGATGTTTTGAACAACTTCGTCTAAGCTGCATTCTTGTCAAAACCTACCTGCTGCGTTTCATCAAAAAAAAAAAAAAAAACCCTACCTGCTGCAGTTCAAGGAGCCTTTTTTCTATCTCCATGACTGCATCATGCCGTTCCTGAATTTCTTCAACCGTGGCAAGAATCTATACCTCAAGTGCAAATTATGAAACGTAAAGCAAGAATAGTTAGACCTAACACATCGAGATGAACAATACAAGTATGAAGTGAAATTAAATAATAATGCACTATTAACTGACCTGTCCTCTACCTGTCCCTTGGATTGCTCTCTCGAAGATCTGCTCGCTGCTTCCGGTCTCAATGAGACGGTCAATCACCTAGTCATTGTGCCAAAATTTGGTCAGGAGAGGTAAGTGTTTGCTGTACCTAGTGTAGTGTGGTAGAACCACCATCCTCACCTCCTCAGAAGGCTTTGTTCCCGTGACTGTTCCAGTTCAAGATTAAAGTTTGTAAATATTCAGTCAACAGGTTAACTCAAACTGAAATGATGGATAAGAGCGATAGTAAAGAAAAAAATTACATACCTGTGAAGATCCTCCTCTCTACAACTTCTCGGTACTCTTCTTGTATAGTTTGTCTTAGATTCTGCAATGAATGGTAAACAATATGATTCCAAGTCTTTAATTTTGCTTCGACAAAGAAGATGGAGAGAGAGTGAGGTCATTGCACCTGGAAATCGTTCATTCTTTCTTTCAGCTTCTTCTTCAATGCACTGCAATCGAAGTTCACCTTTTGTTGGATTATTTTTGGATATATTTGATATGCAATCTTGCCCTCTATGCAACTATGGTTCTATGTCTAGATTCAAAAATTTGTGGATTAACCGGTAAACTAGCATGGTCTTGAAACAGGTTCTACTCAATTTATTTGCCAGAGAAATGCGCGTGGTGTCTGGAGATGAACAGTGACCCGATTTGAAATTATTTAGGGGTACCTTATATAGTCATTAGGATCAACTAGTAAATACTAGCTACTAGCTAGTCCTTAGCAGCATTTGCTGAACCCACTGTACTAGATGCTTGCATTAGCATAATAAATGCATGATGAGGATCTTACATGGTCATCGACATCCTTGATCGGTCTACGCTCGTGCCCTTCCCACACCCTGGCTTCTTTCTGTTCTCAAGATTCTGCAAACCGAAAAGGAGGATGAACACTGACGAGCATCGGGTGAATGACATGCTAAAGATATATATGGTCAGGCTAATGTCTGTACATTTCTGTCCATTTGTTCCAACTTCACTTTTACGTTGCGTGCGATCTTCCCTACTTCATCAATGTCTTTCTCCATGCGCCCTTTTATCGCTGGAAGACGAGTTATTTCAGATGAGCGTTCAGTTTAGAAATGCTGATATCAGTCTGTGTGTCAACAAGCGAAGTTGCACATGCACCTTTCATTGCAGAAGCCTTTGTGACTGACTTCGATTCCTCATTAGCTTCCTGTAGATTTGTACAAAGTATAAATTGTGTCTACATGGGTGATGGGTCCAAAACTAACACGAACAGGAAATGAAGGAAAACACATGTTGTCACGGAGAACTAACATTTCCGAACCAAACTTTAAAAATAGAGTAATATTTACCTGAAGCTTGTGAACTATGTTGGACATCTTATCCAACAGCAGCTCAATCTCCTTGACCTAACGCAAGAAAAAAAACTCCTTGTAAGAAAAACAGTAAATACTATGTCTGCATAATTAACTACCAGTGCTGCAACACCGCATAAAAGAAGAGTTGATAAAACTTTCAGATCTGCACTAGTGCTTTCATTATAAACTGAAGACCAAACCTGTTCAAAGAAGTCTTTGAGACCATAATCAGAGTTGTCCTTGGGATTTCGATTCCCCATCTCAATGTCCCTCTCCCTTTCTGGCTTCTCATCCCTCTCAAAGGAATCCTGTCATCGAATTAACAGAACCCACAGCGGTTCCAACTAGCACATGAGTAAATTACTAAATTATCATGAAGACAGCCACTACAAATTTTGCACTGAATTTGGTATCTCGGTTTTTGCAGGTTATCCCAACAGGAAAATCAGTCAGCTAGGCTTCAAAGACAGACAGGTAGTCTGACATGACAAAATCATTGTTTCCATACGGTCTAATCTAAGTACCCAACCCGGCATGAAAACTTTAACAAAAAGGAGAGACAATCTTGCAAGAACGAACTGCACATACCGTGAGAAGATTGTTCATCTTGTGGTCCGCGGAGAAAGAGACGGGGGAAGCCTTCCCTTAGGTTTCTCGTGCAGCGGAGCGAAGAACAGCAAGCCGCCAATGAAGAAGAAAATGGCGTATTCAGAGGACTTTGGAGAAGCCGTTGCGACGAGGATAGCTAGTATAGGAGTAGTAATAAACTATAGCCAGCAAGGATGATCTTGGCGACGCCGGCCAGCACTAGAAGCCATTAACTAGCAAACAACCGGGTTTAGCAACTAACTAAAGAGACTTAATGCCTATTCATTGGTAATGACTACGCTGCCAACGGATGGAAGAATGCACGGCGTCCTCTCCTCTTTCGGTGGTCTTCCGGTCATCGCCAGGGAAGAGACGGCCGTGTTATTTATTCACTTTTCTTTTCTGATGAAAGAATGCTATTTCTTCTCTATAAATAATCTTTGTTACAGTATTACTGATCCTCGAATCGCCATGAACGTGTGGCGCGTGGGCTACTGGGCTCCATATGTCGCCCTGGTTTAATGGAATGGGCTGGGCTGGTATCGGTGATGCGGCAGATGTGGATAGAGAGGCTGTTGGGCTCTATTGGGCTTCATTATTCCAGCGCGAGAGAGATGTTCCGTGTTCGCAAAGTTTAATTGGCGACGGGTCGCGCTTGGTAGCGACCGCGCGGCCTCTCCGAGACGAGCCCGGCCCAATACTTGTCCCACAATACGTGCGGCCTATGTCCTTCTTTCCGTTTCGGCAGCTCGGCCTCCTCTTGCTCCTTCGACACTCCCTGCTGGAGGCTGCGCGCTCAAGCGGCATCGGAGCCCCGCCTCGTTGGTCCCCGACGTCTTCGCCGCTCTGGGTTGCGTCTTCCTCCGGACGGGCCGGTCTGCTTCAACGTTTCAAGAGCATGTTGATTTGCTCGATGTGCTGCTGTTGCCATTTGTAAACTGTGATGCATCTTCGTACATATATTTAATACGTTTACGCGCACCTTCGATGTGATGACCAACTAAACAGGCCTTAACTAGTAGCGGCTGGCAGCAGATGGATATATTATGATCTGAAAATAGAAAGGAGCAGGGGTGTGGGATTGGTCGCTGGTTGTCCGCGTGGGGCTGAGTCACTCACGCGGGGCTAACGCGCGGTACCGTCTGCGCGACCGGTCGCGACATGTTCTGTGTTCGAATGTTGGATCACGTACGGATGTACTCCTGCTTCCGTCCAAATGAAAGATTCCAGGATGTATATCTAATAACTAGGACGACAGGCGCTTCGTCGCTCAAATCAGCTGTACCGCCACCAGTTAATTAGCTTGCACCGACCATTAGTATATAATTTATTCTGTCAGATCAATTAAATGGCTTCCAATGTTGTGTTTGCTGACATAGGCTAAAAATAATCACAAAAACCAAAGATGACATAAGCTCATAAACCATATAGGGCTGTAGGTATCAAAATCACCAAAGAGAAGGAAATCTCTGAAACATGTAATGCTATTCTGCGATGATCAATAGAGAAGCAAACACTTTGAATGAAAATATACAAAAATGACATAGGCCTCGATATTCCTATGAAACTAATTCCATTTAATCAACACATATATTGCCAAGTTTGCCCTGCTATATTGCATAATCAAAGAAGCAAATTAAGAACACCTATCAGAGCTCAATTAAGTTAGTTTGGTAAGCCGAGAAAGGCAACAAGTTAACAAAAGAGGAAAAGAGAGTACATGAATCAAAGTGGCATGTAGCCAGAGAACCTAATGCTTTCATTTATCATCCTATTGTGTCATCATCACCTAATTAAAACAAACAAATAAAATTTGGAGCCCCATTTTAGGCCAGCTCATTGCATCCCCGGATCCTATTGATGGGAAAGATTAATCATTGTGTCATGGGTTAACATGATTATCAATCGTAGTTCATCAATCATTTAAATTAACCTAACCTAAAAATGATGATCAACTACAACCATAAACAAGATCAAGATGACAATTTAATTTTTGCAACTGTAAGAAAACCTTGCCAAAATAGGTGAATGAGGATAGATTTTAGAACCTTGAGTTGTCACTAGTTCATGGGATGTATGATGCATCCCCATGAGGGGCATCAATTAGTAACATAGTAAGGGTTCTTGAGGTACCCTTGCATTAAAATCTCTAAGAGCATCATTATAGTTGTTGTACTTTCCGATAGATAGCCCCTTCTTCCCTAAGCACTTGCTTAGCACACTCATACCATGTAAAATAAATCCTAGGTTTCTTCCCTTCAAAGACCACATAGCAAGGAGGCATTCTCTGAAACCAACCAAATGTAGAACATGTAAGTGGTCTTAATGACATGCCTCAGTCGACCATTTAGTTTGAATGATGGTGAACATCATCGGCTACTTGATAAAAAAATTAGCCTCAGCTTAGTAGTTTGGTGGTTTTTTTCCTTGTTTAGTCATTGGTGGCTATCAAGAATTGTAAGAACCAAATAAAGAGGCAAATAAACAACAGAGACTTGCACTCAACGCCATCGCCAGACCTTTTGACCAAGATTGGCATTAACAGATTGATTACGAAAAATATTGCATTCACGCCATATATACCATCACAAGAGGATGTTGTTGCTATGGAGTACAACCCAGCATAAGTGTAGAATGGAAGGATAGGCAAATAAAGAATAAAGTACAACAACAAAACCATCAAAACAAGAATAAGGTAGCCACCTCATGTTTGTTTTATGCATCATAGGCCTTTAAATCCCATCTGTTACCATCAGGGCATCCAGGCATAAACAACACAAATAGGCAACTAGTTATCAAATAAAAAGTAGTAATGGACAGAGACTACAAATAAGTTTCTTACAATACCAAGTTTAGCCCAACAGCCAAGGGCTCAAATATTCCCAAATCCTTGCCTATTGTTAGCCACCCTCCTAGGCAAACTACACCATCAAGGTCAGTGTCAAAAAACAACAAGCAGTGCATAAAAAGCTCCTGTGTCAAAAGAAGAGAGTGGGTGAGGGGGTGGAGGAACTATACATCTCTCTGATCCAACCCCCTCCTCCTGCCTTCTAGCCCTTCATGTGTAGTGGAACTACACATAGTAGTTTTTGGCCAGGAAGGTCCTAAGTCAAAGGGCTCTGTGGGCATCACTCATGTTCACAAAGCCCCTGCCTTGGGCCTTGTTGTCCAGGAGGAAGGTGTAGGCAACAATAAGTGCCTCCTCACTGAAGCCAGGCATCTCCATCATAGCAAGGTATAGATTGACATCAACATGGGCAGGTCCAGTCTCCCTAAGAGCATTGGCCACATTGTTCACAGCATCTGACATGTTAGTCAACATGAGCATCTCCTCCTCAGAGAAGTTCCCTCTCTCCTCTTTGGGCCAAGTGTTTGCCATGAGGAGGTAGGAAGCGATTCAATTTGGCCTTGCTATCCCCTCCCTCATTGCTCACTTTGGGAACTATGGTGTGGGTCAAAGGAGGACCATCGGCCTTGCCACCAACACTTGTGCCACTGGTTCTCGCCTAAGGCTTCACAGCACCCAAGTGCAAACTTGCCTGTGGCCATGGCATTAGCAAAGATAGCCTCCATCTCAGTGTAGAACCTAATAGGGCAGTTAAGAAATCAACAGACTGACAACAATATTAACAGTTGCATGAATAAACAATAGACTGACAGATCATGAAGAACAGAGTGATTCAAGAACAGACTGACAGTAAGATTAACAACAACAGAATGAATGAAGCATAAAATTGGTCTCAGCTTTGTCCACCAAATTATTATATCACCATGACACACACATGAGTTCCATAGCAGGGTACATAAGCTAAATTCAAGAACATATTACATCAAATAGTGTTTGTTCTCCTCCCTTCCCACATAGCATTATAAATGGCATCCCTTATTTCAGCCATGTCAATAGAGCCTTGGTCCAGATGGGCTGGGGGCAGGTTGGTTGGATCAGCAGAAGCAGTGAAACCTTCCTCATCAGGCACTACTTCATCAATGCCAAAACCTAGGATCCAGTTGTGCAAAATGGCACAGGCAACTACAAGCTTCACTTGTGTCCTATACTTGTGGAAGGGTTTGTTGTCCAAGATCCTAAACCTGCCCTTTAGTGCACCTATAGCCCTCTCCACAGTCACTCTAAGTGATGAGTGGCTAAGGTTGTAGAGCTCCCTTGTATTGGTGGGCCTGTTCCTTGGGCCATACTCAGACAAATAGTACCTAACCCCCCTGTAGGGAGGTAGAAAATCATTTTTGCATGCATACCCAGCATCTACCAAGAATATTTTACCTACACAAGACATCTACTGTGAGGGTGTGTGTTAATAGGCCATGTAATATGTAATTAGTGTTGGTGTGCAATTACCTTCTGGCAAACTCAAGCCATCTTCCCTAGCTACAACATCTGCCAAAACAGTTGCATCATAGGCAGAGCCCTCCCAGTCAGCTAGGACATAAGTGAATTTCAGATCACAATTCACAGCTACCATCACATTTTGAGTGGGATCCTTTTTCCTACCTCTAAAAGCTTGTTGCATGCGCCTAGGAACCCTTGCTAGGAAATGAGTGCCATCTATAAAGTCAATGACATCCTAAAAAGCATGGGTCAGTCATTGCAACAGGTCTAATGTAACTAATGAACACAGGGTATACAATTACCTTAAAATATGGATTCCATGTATGGCTTCCAAGAATCTTTGGGTGAGTGGTAGTGCTAGCTGGCTTTATCATTTCATTCCTAAGCTCACCCACAGCATACAACACCTGATGGAAGTGCTTGTGGATAGTTTGGATGGACCTCCTAAAGGACTGGTGGACAACCCTAAATCTTTGGTTGTGCCCTACAACATGTAAAAACATGGCAACCTGCTCTTCTATTGACACCCCCTCCCTATCAGTGATAAGACTCCTCTCTCTAAAAGTTCTCACTAACTTAAAAAAAGCAGCTCTCTTCATCCTAATCATAGAAATACACTCTGAATCGGTGGAGTTGTATATCATTCTCAGTGTTCTCTGTATGTGCTGTTTAT